TCGGACCATTCATTTAACAATGATTCAGAATTATGATGGTTTTGGAAAAAAGTGATTTATCACCTTTTCTCAAAGGTATGACCATCCAAAAAAAGTTAAATCATGGCAACTGGACCAAAGTTTATTAAACTGAGACTTTTCATTATTCATCCAAGTACTTGTCTTCAGTCAAAACGAAAAATTTAAGTTAGGCAGAAAGTTGTTGGAATGCACCAACTCTCGCCATACCAACTGCAGGGATTCCCCCCCCCCCAAAATGTATTGCAAATGTAAATGTAATTCAAATACCTGCAGTTGGTATGGCGAAAATGATGCATTCCAACAATTCTTTGACTCTATGCCTAATTCAAATTTTTCATTTTGACTGAAGAAGTTACTTGGATGAGTTACGAAACGTCTCAGTTTTAATAAACTTTGGTCCACTTGCCATGATTTTAACCTTTTAAATATATTTTTGGCCTGGATGATTGAATCTTCATTTACACAAAGGTTGCACCAACCTTTGCACCAACCCCATGGTCACGTGATCAGAATTTGGGCACTTGGCAACAGCTGCATCCTGTTGTTGTGGTCACGATTTGTGGTCTCGCCAGCTGGCTTCTGACCAGCAAAGTCGCTTGGGGGAAACTGGATTCACTTAACGGCCATAGGAAAAATAGTCATAAAATTGGGTCGGGTCACATGATGACTCACTTTAGGACCACACAGAATTACAAGAGAAATTCTGCCCCCAACTGGAGTCGGAAGTCATGGACTACCTGTATGCATTTATCCGCTCAAACTCATAGCCAGCACGCAAAAGGGAATGAGTAAAGAAACATCATGTAGTAAAACAATATTTTAAAAGGATAGCATTATCTGAGCATAAATGCAAATCACTATTTATTTTAAAACCATTTTTCCATAGCTGATAAAAGTAACGATGAATCTAAGTGCATGTTTCTAATTACAGGTAGTCCTCAACCTACGGCCACAATTTCAGCCCAAAATTTATGTTGTTAAGTGAGTTTTGCCCATTTTATGACTTTTTTTTTCTTGCCACATTTGTTAAGTGAATCACTGCAGTTGTTAAATTAGTAACCTGGTTCTTCAGTGAATCTGGTTTCCCCAATGACTGCTTATCAGGGGATCACATGATCCTGGGACACTGCAACCGTCATAAATATGAACCAGTTGCCAAGCATCCAAATTTGATTCACATGACCATGGGGATGCTACAACGGTCACAAATGTGAAAAATAGCCATAGCGTTTACACTTATATACTGCTTCACAGTGCTTTATAGCCCTTTCTAAGCAGTTTAGTCATCGTATTGCCCCCCCAACAATCTGGGTTCTCATTTTACCAACCTCAGAAGGGCAGAAGGCTGAATCAACCTTGAGCCTGGTGAGATTCGAACTGCCAAATTGCAGGCAGGCAGCAGGCAGCAGTAGCAGCCTGCAGTACTGCACTCTAACCACTGGGCCACTGTGGCTCTAAGTCTAAGTGATCATAAGTGACTTTTGTCAGTGCCGTTGTAACTTCAAATGGTCACTAAACAAACTGTCGTAAATCGAGGACTACCTGTACCAGGCAGAGAAACATTACTGATAGCCGACACTGTGGAACAAATATAACAAAGTGACAAGAGAGAGAAAAGTGTATTGCTATATCAACAATGGCTGGCTTCTTAGGAAGACTGTAAAGATTCCCCTCGCACATATGTGCTAGTCGTTCCCGACTCTAGGGGGCGGTGCTCATCTCCGTTTCAAAGATGAAGAGCCAGCGCTGCCCGAAGACGTCTCCGTGGTCATATGGCTGGCATGACTCAACGCCAAAGGCGCACGGAACGCTGTTACCTTCCCACCAAAGGTGGTCCCTATTTTTTCTACTTGCATTTTTTACGTGCTTTCGAACTGCTAGGTTGGCAGAAGCTGGGACAAGTCACGGGAGCTCACCCCGTTACGCGGCACTAGGGATTTGAATCGCTGAACTGATGACTTTTCGATCGACAAGCTCAGCGTCTTAGCCACTGAGCCACCCCGTCCCTAAAGACATAGTTAGATTTGGACAAATCTTTTTCCTTATTTAAGTGTTTTCTTTGGCAAAAAGAAAGATTATTTGCCAATCAAACTCTGATGAGAATCAAAGAACCAAGGGAGACAACAGATGCATTTTCAAGTGTTTAGGTAGCATATCAACACCACAATGATGGACATACAATTGAATATATTCCTAAAACTCAACACCATTATTCCACCTCCTTCTCTCCAGAATCGGAGATAACAGGTCGTGACCTCCTGTGTGGCATCTCTTCAAGTGTTTGAAGAGTGCTGTCATTATTCCCCCTTTGCTGTCTTATCTTAAGCCTAAACATCCCCATGCCTTCAATCTGCCTTCATAAATCTTATCTTCCAATCCCCTGATAGTTATTGTTGCCTTTCTCTGATCCTGTCCAAATCCTTCTGGAAGTGTGGTCCCCAGATTGGGTAACAACTAAGGTGAGATGTCTAAATCAAAGCACCAAAATCATTTAATCGCTGTGTTTTCTGGAATTTTTGGTTTCATTAATAAAGGTGCTATTAAGCATGGCATCCATGACTCTTTTTAAAAAGAAGTTCAGGAAACAGATGTTTTCTTTTTACCCAAAGCCATTTCTTTTTAAATGTACAAAAACCGAGACTTTTCAGAAAATGAACAATATGCAGCATATTCTGGAAGTCCTTGACTACGCTTTCAAGAGTAAAGAAAGAAACAAAACTCGAGCCGGAAAAGAAATGATGTAATCCATAAACTTGGCATTTGCTGATCATTATCTAGAATCAATGTTTGCTATTGTTTTAATTCTCAGATCTAATTTTGTCTTGTATTGTTCAATTAGTTGGTTTCCGACACATCGCATATACAAAGGCATGTATCATTTGTTTTTGTAACCTAGGTACCACATATATAACTTTTACTTTGCCTGAAGTGTAGACGACCACAACTGAGCCCCAAATTTCTGCTGCAAAACAAAACAACTGTTAAAGTGAGTTTTGTCCCATTTTACAACCCCGCTTGCCACAATCATTAAGAGAAATCACTGCAGTTGTTAAATGAATCTAGCTCCCTCATTAATTTTGCTTGACAGGTTGCAAAAGGTGGATCACATGAAGCCTGAGACATAGCAACGGTCATAAAAATGAGTCAGTTGGCAAGCTGGCTGAATTTTGGTCACGTGACTGCGGAGATGCTGCAACGGTCGTAAGTGGGAAAATATGGTCATAGGTCAACTTTTTTCAGTGCCATTGCAACTTCGGTCACTAAATGAACTGTTGTAAATTACCTGTACTTGTGTTTCATGCTGGCTTGTGTATGCGTGTCTCTATGTGGAAAAGCCACTTTGCAACGTTAGTGACTCTCTCCCAAATTCGGAAAAGTTTTTACGAGCTCCACACCAATTTGGGTGTTTGATTTTTAACAACCGCAATTTGGAAACAAGATTTGCGTCCTTACAACCTGAAACCACACTTTTCTTTGCAGGCACACCACACTTTGTATTTGCCTTGCCCTCAACTGCTATCCCAGGATCTCTTCCACCAGGATCACATTCTTAAGACTTAAGCTTTCGATTTTGGCTTCCTACACAACAAAACTTCACACTTATCACTGCGAAAGTGCATTTTAACCTGTTTTCTGGGTTAAACAAACCCACCCAGCCTGTTTTCTCTCCAACATCCATCAACATCGTTTGAAGTTTCGCTCTGTCCGATGGGGCTTCCGTTCGCCCCAATTTAGCGCCATCTGCGACCTGAACAAATAGAGGTAGTCCTCGACTTACAACAGCTCATTTAACGACCGTTCGAAGTTAACAACAGAACTGAAAAAAGCGACTCGTGACCGTTCTTCCAACTTTCCGACCACTGCAGCATCCCCATGATCATGTAATCAAAATGGCAACACTTGTCATATTTGTGACGATTGTTAAGTGTCCCAGGGGGAGGGGAGGTGTCACATGATTCCCCTTTTGCGACCATCCGCTGAAGCAAAGTCCACGGGGAAGCCCGATTCCCTTAACAACCTTGGCTTACTAATTTACCAACGACACTGATTCCCTTAACAACGGCGGCAAGAAAAAAAACCCCGTAAAACGGGGGCAAGCTCACTTAAAACGAATGTTTCGCTTAGCAAACCGCAACCTTAAGCTCCATTGTGGCCGTTGAGTCGAGGACCACCCGCGTGTCTCATCGCACGCCGTCGCAGGAGACTGTCTCCTATTTATGACCGTTGCCATTGCTCCCAAGATCAGGCGATCCCCCCCTTTTGCGACCTTCTGACAAGCAAAACGTCAAGGGGGGGGGGGGGGGGGGGGGGAGCCCGGATTCACTTAGCAACTTAAGTCACTAACTTTTAACAACGATTCGCTTAAAACCGCCCCGGGGAAAGGAAGGTGGTCCAATGGGTCCAAGTTCCTTTCGCTTAGCAACGAAAGGTCTAGCTTAGCAACGGCAATGTTGGGGCTCTACTGTGGTCGTAAATCGAGGACCAGCCGTATACCGAATGGCTGGATGGATCCAATGGGTGGGGGTGGGGGTGGGGAAACATCCGTTAAGCCAGGCTCTGGAAGGCGACTTCCTGCACCGTTGGACCCCAGGCTTGACCTCCTTAAGAGAGGGAAGGGGAGGAGGAGCCGACCGGGCAGCTGCCCCATTCCCCCCCCCCCCCCCGGTTTAATGGCGTTTATTACTACTTTGGGCTTCGGAATTAGCCCCCAGTGAGGCGATGGGGCCTTTGGAAGTCGGTCAGGCCTCCGAGGGGTGGTTCGGAGGATGCTCTAACGGGCAAACCCCCTTCCATCCCCCCGTCCCAATGACGGCCGGGCCTGCTTCAACTCCCTCCAAGGCGGGTTTAAGGTCGGAGGAAGGGACCCCCCTTCCCCCCCACGCCGTGTCCGCTCTTCCGGCCGGCTCTCCCTCCACACACACACACACACACACACATCCCTCACGGGGCCTTCTCGCGCGCGCCTGAGGCCTGCTGACCTGCCAGTTGCTGTAGAGGCGCGTGACGCGGCGGTAGTACGCCTCGCGGTCCAGACTCAGCGCCATCGGAGCGGCTTCCCTCACGCGTAGCCCCGCCTCCCCCCCCCGCCCTGCCGCTTTATCGCTCGCTCGCTCGGCCGCCCGCGCCGCCGCCGCCGCCGCCGCCGCGACCTCTCTCCTCGGGGTGACCCCGGAAGTGGAAAGTCTTTTTCCCTCCCCCATCCTCCTCCCCCTCCCCCCCTCTCTCTCTCACACTCACACACACACGCTCTTCTCGCGAGACTTATACCGCACGGCTTGCGGGATCAGCTTCGCGCGGGCGTCCTCCTTTACTTTTAAGCGTAAAATAGAAATGCCTCCTCCCTCCCCTTTATTATTTAACTTTGGTTGCTTATAGCATTGGTTTATTTATTCAATTCAATTTATTTATTTATTTATTTATTACATGTATTTATATGCCGCCATTCTCCCGAAGGACTCAGGGCGGCGAACACAAGTTAAGAAACAAGTACAATAAAATCCCATTTTAAACCAAATAGCTAATTTATTTTAATTTAATTTATTCATTTTATTTTATGTATTCGTTTAATTTTATTTATACATTTCATTTATTTTATTTTATGTGTTCCTTCCATTTTATCTATTTCATTTTATTCATTTTATTTATTATCAAGCAAGCAGGCTTTCATTTCTTCCATCGTTGCGTTAGCAGGTAGCGCGCGCCCCTCTGTGTGGGAGCCGTCATGTCCTTGAGGAATAATATCTATTATTAATATATATAAATATATATGTATGTATGTATATATAAATAATGTATGTGTGTGTATGTATGTGTATAATATATATATATATATTTCTTTTTCGTAGGTTTTATGTGTATTTCTCTTTAGCCAGGTTCTACCTACGTAATATCTTAACTGCATAATATCATGGTTTACGTAGGTAGAACCTGGCTAAAGAGAAATGCATACATACATACGTACGTATGTATGTATGTATGTATGTATGTATGTATGAGAACATATGCACCAAGACAAATTCCTTGTGTGTCCAATCACACTTCGTCAATAAAGAATTCTATCCTATTCTATAATATAATATAATATAATATTAATATTAGTATAATATATATATATTAGTATAATATATATATTATGTATGTACATATTATATAATATATACACGTCATGAGGAAACACTACACACCTATAAAAACATGTATAACATGTTATATATTATATAGATTTATCTATGGATATGTTTATATGTATATATATATATATATATATATAGCGATATATTACGGTAGATATATACGTATGTATGTGTATATATATATAGAGAGAGAGAGAGAGAGAGAGAGAAAGAGATATTAAGTATCAGTTTTATTATTTCTCCCGCGCTTTTTTTCTCTAGAGCGAGGAACTGAGGACTGCGCATGCGCAGGCGGTCGGTCTTTCAACCGGCTCCCGCGCTTTACCGGGTTTCAGGCTCGCGGCCCTGCCACGTGACCGCGAATGGCGCGAAGGGTTTTGTGGGTCACGCGACCTCTTTTCCGCTTTTCTTTTAGCCCGCCTCAGACTGTTCTGGGGGGGGGGGGGAGTCCCCTTCGCTATTGCCAAGCGGGCACGTGATCTCAGGAAACGTTTGTGGGAGGGAGGGAGGAAGAAAACTTACGCATGCGCTTTTAGGGCAAAGCCCTCGCTTCGTTCTACGTAGAGATAATAACAACACGTGGTCTACAACTTTTTTGAGGAGTCAAAATGCGTTGTTTTTTTTTTAAAAAAACCTGCATTTACAAGTGAAAAGTCAGGGTCACCCAAGTTTTTTAATTTTCTATTTATCTTGCAATGTTGCCCTAAGCCAATTTTTTTTCTCAGCCTCCATTAACCCATCTTTAAAGGTTGAATGGCCATCTTTCCATTTGGACATAAAATCTACGGATAGATTTAAAACGTAAAGCAATTTTGTAACTCCCTGCTCGCTTCCCGTCACCTCCCCCCCTTCCCAACGCAAATAAGTTACCCCCAAAAAATTGTAGCTTCTGACATGACAATGATACTATAAAGTGATCCCGGAAGTATTGTATCCATACATGGAGACGCTCTAATTTGTAGCTCTCGTGTCAAAGCCCCATTCACGGCCCGGGGCTACCTGAATATTCTTTAGCGCATGCGCGGTGTATATCCAGATCCAGTGGTGGCTGCTTAAGAGGGAATTCCAAGGGGAGAAAATTGCACCTGCACAAAACTTAAAATGTGTGTGTTCTTTACAAAGAACACAAAATTATTTTCACTGTAAAGCAATGTCTAGGAAACCTCAATTTGGCCTCTTATACAGAATAGGGGGCAAAAAGTAGGAACATGGGTAGTCCCCAACTTACGACCACAATCGAGCCCAACATTTCTGTTGCTAAGTGAGCCATTAAGGGAATTTTGCCCCATTTGACGATTTTGCTACAGTTGGTATGTGAGTCACTGGTCGTTAAGTGAGTAGCACCATCGTTAAGTGAATCTGGCTTCCCCCATTGATTTTGTTTATCGGAAGGGTCGCAAATGGGGATCACAGGAACTTGGGGCACTGCGACCGTCATAAATACGAGTCAGTTGCCGAGCATTTGAATTTTGATCATGTGACCAATGGTCATGTGAAAAACAGTCATTAAGTAGTACAGTGGACTAAGCACTGTTATTAACATCTGGTTAAGTGTGCGACTTACAACTATTCATTTAGTGACCATTTGAAGTTAACAACAGCACTGGAAAAAGTGACCTATGATCCTTTTTCATGCTTTCCTGTTTGTCGCTGAGGTGTTTGTATAAAACGGTGTTTTTTCAAGCTCAGCAACTTTTTAAGTGTTGGAAGAAATATCCTTCTGGGTTCAGCTCCAAGTGGGGAAAAAGACACTGGAAACATGGAGACTGATTGGAAAGATGGTTTAATCGCGGACAGGATCAAGTGATTTGAGTTCCTGAACAGAAAAAGGGGCGAGATGCTGAGCGTGCCTTGGTTTTATGCCCTCTCTGAGCCCTGAACTTCCTGGGGCACAGGAAGAGTATCCTGATTGGTTGTCAGACTCCCAGGGGTGGGGGTCTTAGCTAGTCTTGCTGGCTGATGTAATCTTCCCAGGTGCCTTGTGGTGAAGACAGCAGATTTTGCTCCCAGGTTCAGGGGGCTGTGGTTTAAAAGAAGGCAATAGGCGTGCACGCATGTGAATGTGTGTGTGTGCGTGAACCCCCAAAATGTGAGTCCGCATGTGCCCGTGCGTGTTCCCCACGCACACACCTGTCTCCCCGTGCTTGTGCCCCAGGTCCCCCATGCCCCATTTTGGCTTCCAGGTTGGTGCAGGTGGCTTCCCAGGCCCAAAATGGGTCCGGTGAGCCTTGTGCGCTGCCCCCGTGCCCCATTTTGGTTTCCGTATTGGTGCAGGCGGCCTTCCAGGGCCAAAACGGAGTGCAAGGGGGTGCGTGCGTGCAACCCCCTAAAATGCAATGTGAGCACCCCTGCGCATATGCCCCGTCCCCCGTGCATGCATCCCGCCCCTGCGCTTGTGCGGCAGAGACCTGAAGACCACTGGCTAGCGGGAGGAGTGCGCACATGCGCAGTTGAGCTACTGGACTGCAAATGCCATGCAACCTGTAATTAAAGATGGGAGTTGACATTTCCAGAAGGCACCACGGTGAGAAATGGATGTTTCTATATACATCATTCATTATTCAACAAATTTCTAAGGCTGCTTAACAATTAACCCTGTAATGATCCCGAGAAGTGCATTATGTTAAGAAATGGGATTCATTTCTTAAGAGAGGATTCATTATGTTAAGAAAGGGGATTCAAAACCAACCTTTTCTGATGGCAAATGCTCATTGCGGTGTCACATCAGATTTATAATAGCCAAAGAAAGTCTCTCAAGAGAGAGGAAGGCAGGAAAGGAGAATACCTGGGGGGAAAAAAAACCTGCCATGTAATTATCAATCTAAGCTCATCAGTCAGATTTAAAGAGGGTTAGGGTTGACTGAAGGCAGGGGTGAAATGCTACCGGTTCGCTCCCGGTTTGGGCGAACCGGCAGTGATAAAAAAATACTGATTCTGATGAACCAGTAGTAAAAAAATGCTTTAAAAAGTAAAAAAAAAAAAAAAGGTTCAGCTGTGCCACGTGATTATTGGAACTTTTTTTAAAAACTTTTTTAAAAGCATTTTTTTACTACGAGTTCGGGCGAATAGGTAGTAAAAAAATGCCTTTAATAGTAAAAAAAAAAAAAAAAAAAAGGTTCCGACGATCGCGCGGCACACCTGATTGACCATCGTCAGAACCTTTTTAAAGCATTTTTTACTACCGGTTCGGGCGAATAGGAAGTAAAAAAATGCTTTAAAAAAGTAAAAAAAAGAAAGAAAATAGGCCACACCCCTCAGTCACCTGAAACCCCCCCCCCCAATCAAGCCACGCTCACAGAACCGATAACAAAAAAAATTGCATTTCTCCACTGACTTAAGGTCTATGATTATGTTCATGTATCTTCCTCCCTTCATTGTCACTCTGAAATATCTAGAGCATTGAGGGCCACGTCAGGGTTGTGTTTGAACTCTGGGGGGCGGGTGGGGTGGGCGCAGCCGGGGCGGATGTGGCCAGCTTGATGTCACTCATGTCGGGGGCACCTGTGTGGCCAAGTGCTAAGGCAGGACTTCCCTCAGACCCTCCTTCCCTCTCATTATAATCTTCCTTTCTTTTTCCTTCCCTCTTCATTCCTTCTTTTTCCTTCCCCTCTTTCCTGATTTTTCCTTCCTTGCTCTCTTCCCATCTTCCCTTCTTTTTCTTTCCTCTTTCCCTTTCTCCTTTCCTGTCCCTTCTTGGATGCTCAAATGCAAAAGGAGGAAACATTTCTCCTTTTGTTTTTAGTTTGTTTTGCTAGCCCTCTGCCAGCGGAGCCTGGGAGGGCTGTGTGCGCCCCCCCCAGCTCCATTTTCATTGGCAGAGGCACCACACAGTGGTGGGTTGCCCCCAGTTCAGACCGGTTCGCAAGAACCGGTAGTAAAACCGGAGGGAGGCTCCACCCACTGACCCGGACGTCATAATAGGCGATCTGCGCATGCGCGCGCGGGCACGA